TAAACAAAGTATTTGTTTATTTTAGAAAGTTATTACAGCAGAATGCATTGAGTGTGTAGGTAAAGGTAGAATCTTTGGTTAGCTTGCTTGTTAGCTAAACTGTGAAGTCATTATTAGGTGGTTAGGTATACTGCCCTCGTTTCGGAAGTAGTCTAGTCCTACAGACAGATAGATTGGTTATCTGTCAGACTAGTCTACTTTTAAAGGAGGGAAGTTTACCTAACATAATAATGACTTCACGGTTCAGCTAGCAAGCAACCTAACCAAAGATATTACCTTTAACTACACACACAATGCATTCTGCTATAATACTGTCTTATGTGCATCACTTTCTTTCAGCAATTAGGACCCTTACTTCAATTAACACAAGATCAAATTTTTGCAATATGATTGTTTTTGCATGCAAAATAGGATATGCTTACCATTCCAGTCTTCTGCTATCAACCAAGTTTTGATGGGAAATTGTATTGCTCATGGTTTCAGTTGTTTGTGCTTTCTATTTAATACATCTTAATTTGTACATCTGTACACCTGTCTTTGACTTGGTCACTTCTCGCCATGGATCACAATATCTTTTTTTATTTCTCTATAGTTAAATTTTCATATTTTTGAAATTTCTTAAGCTCATAATTACTGCAATCAACAGAATATTGTGATAGGATTTTTACAGATCTGAGATATTTTGATACAATCCATCAAAATGGTATCCATAGAAATAAAAATAGTACTTACTCTAAGTATAAAACTGATCCTAGTTTTAATGTGTCTTTAACACCTGAAAAAATAAGAATGTGTCCATAGTACACCGTGAAATTGGGGTCAAAACTCTAATTTGGCATTAAAACTAGAAAGATCATATCATAGGGTACATGTGTACTAAGTTTCATGTTGATTGGACTTCAACTTCATCAAAAACTACCTTGACCAAAAACTTTAACCTGAAGCGGGACAGACGGACAAACGCACGCACAGACCAGAAAACATAATGCACATAAATGGGGCATAAAAATGCATCTGAAATACTTGTCAGTTTTTTTTCAAAATTAAAGTTCTATTTCTAAGACATTAATTTCTGACACTATAAACTTGAAATTTAATTATTGAAATAAAGTTCTCATTTTGTACTTGTTAGAGTAGGGTGCATTTAATTTCTTTTGGAAAATACTTCAGGTGAATGTAATAAAAGCATTATTGATATTTTAAGAATTTTGATAGAATAATGATGCATTATTTCATCTGATAGCTTATACCCATTGGATGTTGAATTTTACAGATATGGAGCTGAAATATTTTTTGTTCATATGCAAAGGGATGTTGAATTTAATATTTTGACTCTAACTGTAGGGTTTTCTCCCTTGTATGCAACACACCTTCTACTTGGGGTGAATAATCATGGCAAATGTAATTTCCACAACTCCAAGGAGTTTAAAAGTATTAGCAGAGTGGAAATGATTTTTGTAATAATGCACAGGGAATACTTAGTTGGACTAAATTTAAACCCATGACCTTCTCTGTTGGGTTTTCCTCCTTGTATGTGACACACTTTCTTATAGTGGTGAATAATTATGTCAAGTTTCATTACCAAACACCATGGTTTTTAACTGATGGGGAGATAAAAACAAGTTGCGCCAGACAAGTTGATTACCATAGGCCTTCTTCTGATTAATCAGCTGAGCCCTAACAAAATTTCAGTATAAAAATACTTACTCCACTGAAAGTTAAGCAATGAATATTCAAACTTCAGCTTTTCAATCATAAATATAATGTTTCTATTGCAATAATCAATATCCATCTGAACATGGAAATTTCTCTTCAAAAAGGCAACATTAAAGCAGCAATCTACAGTTGTACAACTCTTCATAAGTGTGCAAGAAATTAATCCTGATAGCTGGGGCAACTGTACAGAACGTGGACATTCTGAAAAAGAACATTAATTTTAAAATAGTTTTTTATCTCACAATTATAGAATTTAATCAACCAATTACATCATAATAAAACTAACTAGATATCATTGAGATGGGAGCCATCTCTGTGGGCCCCGCTGTGAATAATGTGTGGTAAAAAATTTGTATCTTTATCATTGGACATGGGGTTGTCAACTGAAACCAAAGTTTTTGACCTTGACCTTTGACCTAGGAAGTTGTACATTAATTATGACACACCCTCTGGTGTTGGTTTATATACATGTCAAGTATAAACTTTTGAAATCATAACGGTTCTCAAGATATAGAGCGGACACGATCTTTACCATAGGATATGGGGTTGTCAACTAAAACCAAAGTTTTTGACCTTGACCTTTGACCTAGGAAGTTGTACATACATTATGACACACCCTCTGGTATTGGTTAATATACATGTCAAGTATAAACTTTGAAATCATAACGGTTCTCTAGATATAGAGTGGACACAATTTGTTACGGACAGACAGATGGACAGACGGTACAACAGACGGACAGACAGACCGATCACTATAGGGCGTCTGCCATTCAGCGGGGCCCTAATAAACAGCTGCGCCATGAGCGCATGATACGCCCGTCCCATTTTCAAAGAATAAAGTTCAATAACTTTTCAATGTCATATTAGAAATTTATGAAATCAAAAGGGAGCTTACATCAATAGATATAAACAATTCACCAAAGTTTCATAAGAATTGCTGAAAGCATTTTTGAGTTATTGTCCGAAAACTGGCATAATAATCAGCTTGTTGATTGTGGCCATTATCAGGCAGAAACTGGAAAATCCCCCCTTTTTTAATGAATAAAACCCCATAACTCAGAAATGAAAAATCTAAAATTTATAAAATTCTAAAGGTAGCTTACATCAATAGATATAAACAATTCCCTAAAGTTTCATGAGAACTGCTGAAAACATTTCTGAGTTATTGTCCAAAAACTGGAAAAATCCCCCTTTTTTTATGAATAAAACACTGTATCTCGGAAACATTAAAATCTAATATTTATAAAAATCAAAAGGGAACTCATGTCAATAAATATAAACAATTCACCAAAATTTCTTGCAAGTTGGTGAAAGCATTCTTGAGTTATTGTCCGAAAACTGGAAAATCCCCCATTTTTTAATGAATAAAACCCCATAACTCAGAAACGTAAAATCTAAAATTTATAAAAAACAAAAGGGAGCTCACATCAATAGATATAAACAATTCAACAAAGTTTTATGCAAATTGGTTAAAGTGTTTTTGAGTTAATGTCGACATATTGACGACGGACAGACGGACAACGGTATACCATACTACGGCCCGTAAATGGGCGTATAAAAAGTGTTAAATATTCATCTATTAAACTGTATTATAATATTTTTGTTCATAACACTTGGCTTTAGATTATTTCATGATTCTAATATAAAAACAAGTTTTCTTTTTCATCATCAAAATAGAAGCACTAAAAATAGTAATTGTTGTGAGTTTGTCACATTTAAATAATTAGATGTCTTTCTCAAACCTAGAAGCAGTACTTGTATTAAATTAATAATATAAATAAATATTATTTGAAACATCATATCCTCAAGAGGCCATATTAGAAAAATAAAAGATACATGATACAAAAGGTTGCTATGACAAGGTTCAGCTAAAAAAATCAGGAAACAAAATAAATCATGAAAATATTTAACTCAAGAATCCAAAATTATGTTTTCATTCTTACCATTCAGCCAGTTGCTTCCTTCCACAACACATTGTGGACTTTGTAGATTATCAGCTATACCCAAATGATTTATTATTTGAGTAATGACAATTTCATTCAGATTGTCACTGATGGACAGCCCTTTGTTACCAAGAAAACTGCTCACAGAAAATCCTGTAACATAATATGTACTATTTGCAGACTTAATACAGAAATTTGTATATCTGGCAAATCATTTGTATATATAACAATTTTAATCATGTGGGTAAATTCTGGCAAATCCTGTATTTTTTACTTTCTCATAAAAAACAAGACTATCAAATAAAATTTCATGGTTAATTTCATTCATGGGTGGTTGCTAACAGCCAGACAACTAACAGTTACTTTCTTTAAACAAAAAAATCATCCAAAGGATCCTGATTAAGTATTTATTCATGTATCTAAACAGTTCATTAAGAACATATGTAATAAGATCTGTGTTTTTTTATACCTGCTGAGCGGGAGCTATATTTACAGAATGTCTTAGGTAAATACACGTCCTGCAGAACAACTTGCTGTATCAAACATTCATCACGTTCCAGACATACACTCACATTCATATTCACCAGGAACACATCATCATCAACAAGATTGTAGATTGAATAGCTGTAAATATAAAAAAATACTTTCATCAGATTTAAAACTACTTACCATGGAATCTTTTCATTGAAGCTTTCTTAATTCAATTTAGATAAAAGATTCTTACAGAAACATTTTCAAATTATCAGAGTTATCTCCCCTTTAACATAAATTTTTAGTTTTTTTTTAAATGCAGATTGAAACCACAAGTTTAAGACTTCCAACAGTTTACAGAAAATCAAAATCAAACATTTTTAGTGCTAAATAATGGTTCTACCCATATTTTTTATATGTGTAGAGTAAGACATCAATTAGCAGAAAATTTAAATGACAGATAGAACAAAATAATCCAAATAGGCCCAAAAGTAAAATTATAAGACATTACTTACTTGATAGTGAATAGTGATGTTAACTTGAACTGTTCTACAATCCCTAAAAGTACAAATGATATTAACATGAATAATATATTATATCATTTTTTGGTAACAGCGTACAGAAAAAAACTAGAGGCTCTAAAGAGCCTGTGTCACTCATTTAGGTCTATGAGCTGATGATGATCTTCAACCATGTGGACTAGAGAAAAATTCCTGACAAATATTTTTTTCTCGTTGATCTTGTATTGCTGATAATTTTTTCTGTTTAATGTTTCTCTTTATTTTCTTTAATTTTTAAAGGCAATCAGTCCTATAAAAAGTAAACCAACTATTTAGGCAAATATTACTTATTTGCAGATCTTGTCTCCTCCATAGTTGCCAACTGACATGATATTCGCGTGTAATACACGCTTTTTCAACGGTTTACACGCGAGGATTTTATCACATGGCGTGTACACGCTTTTCACCACTTTACACGCAATTACACGCTTTTTAGTTGTTTTGTTTTTTTGGTTGTTAGTGATATCGCGATTCTCGGGTTTTTTCATTATAACACGATAAATACCGAAATTTCGAAGTAATTGTTTGGTGGCCATTGTTTATTTTTCTCTATATGGACGAACAGCAAAAGCTCTTAAGGTAAGTAGTTTGTGATTAGTTTTTACGATTTTGGGACTTTCTTTCTTTCAAATTCACTTAGGGAAAATTTCCACAGAAAGAGGTAGCTTTCAGGACCTGTACCGTCGTCTAAAGAGTCGATTTTAAGCGAAAACGATGAGTACGTACCAAGATTCAAGATTTATAAATTATATAATTTTGGGAGTTCGAGTTTAAATCATCGAGGGATGAGTAACGCATTGTGCACTCTATGTTGCAATCCTAACAATACATATGAGAGGAGAACTAAAATACATAGCTATTTGATTAAGCATTTAACAATTATAAAATATTTTTCTTTTTCAGTTTCAAATGTAGCCAACAGATTTCCACAGGCCATAGGGGATGGAAATATCACGGAACTGTTGGATCAGTTCTCATAGTATTAGCTGTCTTCTGATGAACTACCCAGTTTTGACCAGGCAATAGCAACATATATTGTATAGTTTGTTGGGAGCAATGGCAGAGATCATAGATGACATTTTAGATGGCAAAAAAACATTATGACACTCTTTCAAAGCTTCATGAAGCTATTTTAGTTCAGCCAAATATCAATTCTGACTGTGAGAGATCATTTTCAATTATAAAGAAATTTACACTGAATTCTGATCAGAACTTGACAATGATATGTTGTGTGCCTTGTTATCAAGTAAATGTAACCAAATCAGCAGGTGTTTTGACTATGTGCCTAGTGGTGTTGCTTTAAAAGCAGCAAAACAGACCACTGTTGAATACAATAAAAGTTTACAGTTGAATATTGTTTTTTATATTAACAAATTTGCATAGAATGTGAAATTATGAACATTGTTCATATTAAAAAGTCCGCATCTACGTCACGCGTTTTCACACGCTTTTTGACATGTCATGTCATGTCATGACATGATTTCTCATTGTCAGAGGTTGGCAAGTATGGTCTCCTCTACGTCAATTATTTCTACTTATAAATCAAATATTGCTCTTACATCAACTTAATCCTAACATTCAAAATTTTAGATTATGAGACCAACATTCAGAAAACCTGGGTGACAAGATATCACATTTGGGGATCAGGAAAAGCATGAGGGAGGAGAAAGTCACTTCGCCATGTTCACCTCGTAGAGCAAGCTATTATGACAAGATGTCAGCTTAAAAATATATAAAAAATGTGTTTTTCTTCTGCAGGAAACAATATCTAGCAATCAAAATAAATAATTACCAAATTCATAATCAAACAAGGAAATATCTATTTCATATTTTTCAATTCCTATTCTCAGTCTGTAAGAACAAGCATCAAGGAAAACCAACATATGGAATGATTGTTTTATAGGATTTACGTCAATACAACATTCCACAGCTGTACAGATATCTGGTATATGACAAGTCACTGGTCCTGTCAATGGCTGTAGATCTACAGATTTATCACAAGCTGAAAAAATAAAATGGTTTTAAAAGTTTGGAGAAAATTTAGAACAAGATTTGTCATAGTGCAGTTCATTTCGTTTTACCATAATAGTGAAATTTAACTAAATAAATGGAGAATGTGTCCCCATGGACACAGATGATGCCCCAGCTTGCATACAACATAATAGTGAAATTTAACTAAATAAATGGAGAATGTGTCCCCATGGACACAGATGATGCCCCAGCTTGCATTCAACATTATAAAGGGACATAACTCAAGAACGATAAAAGTGACGCTACCGAAATTTGTAGTTGATCTGAGTTTTGTGGTAATAAGTATTGTGTGTAGGTTTCATGTTTGGTTGGGGCAAACTTGAGCTAGAGAACGGAAACTAGAAAAATTGCAATTTTTCAATTTATAAAGGGGCATAACTCGATAATGGTTAAAGTGACGCCAACAAAAATTCAACCTGATCTGTGTTTTGTGGTGATAAGCATTGTGTATAAGTTTCATAACATTTGGTTGAGGAAAACTTAAGTTAGAGAACAGAAACTAAAAATTTTGCAATTTTTTCATTTATAAAGGAGCATTACTCTAGAACTGTTAGAGTGACGCTACCAAAATTCAAACTTGACCTGTATTTTGTGGTGATAAGCATTGTGTTTAAGTTTCATAACATTTGGTTGAGGCAAACTTAAGTTAAAGAATTGAAACTAAAAATTTTGCAATTTTTCCATTTATAAAGGGGCATAACTCTAGAAGAGTTAGAGTGACACTACCAAATTCAAACTTGATCTGTATTTTGTGGTAAAAAGCATTGTGTATAAGTTTCATAACATTTGGTTGAGGCAAACTCAAGTTAGAGAACTTAATGCCCCCTCCGCTACGGCGGGGGCCTAAAAAAAACCAACAAAACATTACTGCTAGTTTGCTGGTTTTCAACTAAAATTGACTAAAATAATTGTGACACTGTATTTGCAAGTTCATTCATTTCATTAGACATCATTTCATAGAAATTATGTAAATAGAAAAATTCTGCCACTGAAATGAATTAATCTAGATAAAATGCTTACAAAACAGGTAGTACCAGAACATATTTTGAAGAAACGTAAATTAGGGCTGATCCTTTTAAAACATACATGAGACACATGAAAGGCACTATGAAATTTTTACTTATTGCAGGAGACCAATCCTTTTTTTTTAACGATGTAAATGAGTTTTAATATTGCCTATATAGGTGTTTATCCCATCTTAAAGGGATTTATGTGGTTACTAATTGAGTTTCAATAAAACAACTCTTAGTGGTAACACAATGTTCCTTAAAAACCCAAATAATTTGTAAGATATGAAATACAAACAACCAAATTTTTTCCTTGGAAACTTTAAACAGACCAAAATGTTTATCTCTCATATTTTTTATCGAGTTAAACAACAAAAAAATGGATGACTACAACAGACTTTATAAAAATTAAAAGCCACAAATTCTTATATCGTTTAATAATCAAACTCTTACTTGTATTCCATTCACCATTACTAGGACTATAAGGAACATCTGTCCTGCTACACATTGGATTAGACAAGAATTTGGCTATACCAAGCTCCTCTAAAAGTAAATCTACAGCATAATCTGTCACAGAATCCATATCTATTCCATTAAACTGAGTCCAATTCTTCAATGAAAATCCTGTAAAATAGAAATATTGAATTAATTTTTTTCTTGCCGTTGTACCAATAATGAAGAAATGTGTTGAAGAAAATGGATCATGTATTTATAAATATTCTTTTTCATCACTGAATACAAACTCATAACATCACATTAAATAATTAAAATATGAATAAAATACATTCACAAAAAAAAAAAACAATTTCAATTTATTCAGGAGGACACACTTGCTTGTTAATATTTTGTATACACACGAGACTATTTTGATCCCATAACATTGCTTTCAAACAGATATCATTTAAAAAGTCTAAGCTCACCATATATCATATAGTTGAGAGTGAAAAATTAAGATTCAGGGCAACTTATAAAATTATAGATCAACCTTTCTATAATATCACACTTACTGAATCCCTGTATTGCCTATCCATATCAAAGAATAGATTTAACTTTGTCAAAAAGTTCTGACAAGAAACTGATAGGCTATTTTTTTTTTTCAATTAAGTATACCATAAATTGCAATTGTCCCTTTTTCTACCTGTGATTTAATTGCCTAATTACAATTTCCTGTTTTTGTCCCCCCCAAAAAAAAAAAAACTTAATTCTTTCATGTTTTCTACCTCTTGATTATCAAAAATAAAGGGTAAATCATCTGGTAATTTTCCCCACATGAAAAACAAACATTTTTTGTATCTCAAGTTTTTACAGTAATTATGAAAAATATTTATTTGTCTTTGAAGATCTAGTGGAGATTTTGAAATCAAACCAGTATCATCTGCATAAACATTAAAATAAAACGATATTAAGAAATATATAAAGTTTAATTTCATGAAGCTAAAGTTTTTATTCTTCAAAAATTGTAAAAAGACAGATACATTTATTTGTAAACATTTTTCAAAAATATTGCTAACAGAACAGATATTAAAAAGTCAATTCATTAAAATGATAGAACATACCTATGTCAAAAGAGCCATCTTGCAAATTACACAGTGGTTTAGGAAAAGAAACATCCTTTAATACATTGACTGTTAATTCACAGCTTCCATGGGATTCAAAGCATACACTCACATTCAGGTTGACCAACAATAAACCTTCAGACTTCAGGTCATCAATAGAATAACTACAACACAAATACCAATCTTAATGTTTTATGTATACTAGATATAAGAAGATGTGGTATGAGTGCCAATGAGACAACTCTCCATCCAAGTCACAATTTGTAAAAGTAAACCATCATAAAAGTAAACCAAATAAACCATAAGTTTGAACTACTGTCTTAAAAAATGAAAGTTGCTACAATTTAAACCTGGTTTTACAAGAACACCTTTCTTTGCTAGGAAGGTACTTCTACAGGTCAGAGTAGTCTAAAAATTAGCATTCATTATTAGTTTGTTCCACTGGTTGATTTTTCATATATTTTCCATTCTTGATAGTGAATTTTCCATTTTTGTTATTGCTTTTGTGCTTAGTACATTTGTCATCATCTACCTCTTTATTTTTTTACAGCTAATTTCCTAATGCATGTAAGGTAAGACTTTGGTTAGCTTGCTTGCTTTGTTTGTATATTGACAGTTGTAATTGTGATAACTTTCAATCAAATTTAAATATAATATGTACTGGTTTAATATTGCCTGTCTATATTGTTTGCAGCTGTCAATCTCGAATACAATGCTTGAGCTAACATTTATACAAACAAAGCAAGCAAGCCAGCCAAAGTTTTACACCACAAGCATTAGGAAATTAGCTGTAAACATAAATGGCAGGTTAACTTTTGCAATTGCTTCTTTTGTTGACATCTTAACTATTATCTATTATAAGTCTTAGGTGTTTTACATTTTTTGAAGATTTAAAAGTTCTTATCATGGACAACATCCACATTCATTGAGACAGTGAAAAGGTAAAATCTAACTTCATTAAGCTCTGTCTTTTACTTTGTCTGCAAAATATGAAAAAAATCCAGTAGATCTGCTTAATTAATACTTACTCAATATTTAGGATATTAAAAAGACTAAAGCTTTGCTTTTGGTCAAAGTTAAATTCCAAGAGAGACTTTTTAAAGGTCAGCTTCTCTATTCCAATTTCAAAACTATAACTGCATGTATCCAGAATAAGATATACACTGATGGACCTGCCCAGCTGTTCTACATCAATACAGCACTGTATACCTGTACAAGTATCCATCAGGTGGCAGGAGACAGGACCAGTCAATAGGGGCAAGATTGGCATAGAGTCAGAACTACAATCTGTAATCAATGAAAATGTTTTCAATCTTGATGCCATTGTTTTAATATATCAATCAAATATAATAAAAACCTTATCAAAAGGTAAGTATTAAAGCTTCTGCTTGAAACTTATACTGGTTTTGAAACTTCTCAATGCATTATAAGCCAATAAATCAGTTCAAAATCTTCCCAGGAAGTCAATGCAGGAAAAAAGTCTAATTGACTAAATTTCATCTCAAGTCAAACGGCTGTAAGACATACCTGTGTAACCTGTACTAAAACTTATATGCATGGAAAGGGGCCATAATTCAAAGTAAATCTACCAAAATAAAATTCATACCAATTCATCCCTCAACTATACTAGAGAGTTTTCAGGATAATTGTTGGTAAAAAAAAACTACACTTTGCATGCAGAAAAACACTTTTTTTTTTCAGATCATTATAGTTGGGTTCAACCTGTAAGTCCGCTACTAGAAATGATTCATACAATTC